AACTCTTAAATCAAGGTCCGAGAGATCCAGCAAACTCTCCTTACTGTGCTGCTGAGTCCAGGAATTGGACTCAAGACACAAAAGGTGATGGTGTAGTTGATTACTGCTACTTTATCAGCCTTTGACTTGATTTGTGGTGAACCTTCTTCTTCACAACATTATTAAATGTTGATCTGCACAACAAYATTAATTAAACATTGAACCTTACCTTGCCAAGCACACTCTGGTATTCAGCCTTCTTTTCCTCCGTCACTTTTTTGTCAGACATCAATTTTTCAAGGTGTCCTACAAATTAGAGTTGTAAAAAACAATTTTCTTATTAAATAAYTCTTGGCTGATTAAAGACAGAATTGTTCACTGCCAGGTTTTTGCAAATGTAGAGAAACCAGAGACAAACTATTAATTCTGCTAACATAATGCCAAGTCCAGAACCCCAGAGGTGAGGCGAGTGCATTATTGTTACTCCACCCTAGAGTGTTTATCAGTTCAATTTGTATATAAATAAACTGAAGCATTRTGTAAAAGACAGACCTTCTAGAATGTGATCTGCTCGATAACAGTCACCAGTCTTGACATCTTTCACCATGTAGTCAGTAAATCTTTCTACGTGTCCAGATGCTCTAAAAAGCGTTGACAATAAAGATTATTATGATTCAYATTCACATAACGGCAAGGCTGGGGATAGGGTTAAGGGCATTGATATTTCTGTAACTACTATTTCTGGAATAACTCAATAATGTAAATGTTTTTTTAAATAGTAACTTTGTTATCTTTATGTTTTTTTTATTGGCTCCAAAATAAAGTATAGAACATAAATTCTGATCGCCAGTATCCGTCCTCCCCTCCCTCCCTTCCTCTCTCCCTTCCTTCCTCCCTCCCTCCCTCTCTTCCTCCCTTCCTCCCTCCCTTCCTCCCTCCTTCCCTCCCTCCCTCCCTTCCTCCCTCCCTCTTTTATTCCATCAATCATTCAYATTCCTTCAATCATTCATTCATTGGTTCATCACACTGCTAGGATCTTCCAGCCAGTATCATTCTAAGTACATACTTGAGGACAGGGCTAGGTGTAAGCAGAGCTGCTCTAATCTCCAGCATATGCTCTTCCAGCACAAAGTGAGATCTCCATAGTTGAAGCATGTTTGATTCCATTGCACATCCTGATGGCCCATAATCATATAGACCCGCCACACCTGGTTAATGTACAGTACAAAAGTTAAATCAATAAATATAAAGACAACAAAAGAATACCACTGCTGTGGCAACTTTGGGTCAAAAGGATTCAGAATCTATCTGGAAGAGGAATACTATAATGATTTTGAAGAGGGCAAGAAATTAGCTCTATTACACGTACATGTATTTAAGACTGAATTCAAGGACCACGGAGTTTTATCACTTGGTGGTATGTTTATACCCATAAGAATAAAAAACATTTTAAAATCACACAACCTCATCCTGATCRAGGAGCTTAAATGCAAGGCTATGTGTGGTGGAATCTCTTTTGTTCAAATGTGTGAAAAAGGACTGTTGCTGAGTTTTATGTCAAGTGGGAGGACTGGCTGGGCCAAAAAACTGTTGACCAGGCTGGATATAATGAAAATTTTAAATACATGTAGTCATATATATAACACCACTGAGTTCGACAAATGCAGCCTGATTTTGATTATTTTGATGGAATGAAATAATCTTGATTCTGTAAAATGTCATGGCAGATTCAGGATGATTTCAAGGTGGTGCCTGTTACCTAAAATGCCACTTTCTTTAGATTGCATTACTCTTTATTCTTTTTTCTTTAGACTCAGGGGAGAAGGGGGGGGGGGGGGGGGGGGGGGGGGGAGGGCGTTAGGCAGCTTCCCCACCAATCTAGCCTCTCTCACTCCTGTATATTCATACCTCCATATATCTCAAAAGATGGCACAAAAAAGAATCTTCTTTTCAACAAATCCTCTAGTTTTGCTCTGTCAAACTTTTCRTCTTGAGGAGTCATCTCTTTCTCCTGAGGTAAACCAAACACAAAATTGAGAATATGTGGACCGCGTAGCACTTATGAAATACATGAAGATATAGAAATATAGATAAGTTATAGTGCTTGGAAACGAGGTTATTCCCGCCGAAAGCCTTGGAATTAAATTGGGAAAAATTAATTTCCGACCTCGCTGACAATCAAACCCACGACCTTCAGAATTGTACTACCGATGCTCTACCAGCTGAGCTAGAGGTCAGAATGAGAGCAGGCCGGGGTGAATTACCTTGTTCCCAAGCACTATAACTTATCTATTTTTCTATAAAACACAAAAAGATTGAATATTAACAGCTCATGGCTAACTTATAACACTTTTTACCATGAGAACCAATTGGAGTAACTATCAAATACCCCACACTTCACACCATTCCTTTAAAGGGGCACTTGGTGGAAAACGCCCTGATTTTTGAAAGTCTGAATAATTGAAGTATTTGAGGATAATATGACTCAATTATAATTTTGAAAATCAGATTAGTAAAAATTTTAGCCTGGGAGCCACTTGATGTTGAGATATTTTGGGTTAAAAGTGAAAAGAACAATAGGGTTGAGTAAATGATGTCATTGACTCACGTCAATTTAGATGCTGAATACAATTGATAATTTTTCCCGCTACTTTTGACTGTGAAGGAAACATGTTGCTTGGCTACTATCTGGGCCATATAGATAAGTTTAACCAAGTTTAAAGTCATTTCCAATTTTCATTGATTTCATCCAAGTGCCCCTTTTAATGTTTGGATACGCAGATATGCAGTGAAGAAGACCACCCCTTCCCCTATAGATATAAAGGTATATGTTGAAGTGGAAATGCCAATACACGGATACGCAGTGAAGACTGAGACCACCCCTCCCTTATAGATATTCATCCGCTTATCCACTCCAGCATACACCTTCATATCTATAGGGGAAGGATGGTGTTCTTCACTGCGTCTCCAAGTATCCAAACATTTAAAGAAATGGTATGAAGTGCGTGGTATTTGATAGCTGTACCAACCATTTTCCTCATGGAAAAGATATTTATTATACAAGTAAATAAAAATCCTGGGCCATTTTTTTCTTAAACCAGANGAAAAGATATTTATTATACAAGTAAATAAAAATTCTAGGCCATTATTTTCTTAAACCAGACCAATGTCCAAATGGTTTCTAGGACCAAGCTACAGCAATGACTGSCAAGGCATTTGCAATACTGTACTACACTGGTTTGGATYTATATGCTAYAMTAAAGAAAAWCCAATCTACTGTAAGTCATGTTTTTATCTGTCTGGTATACACAATTAAATGATGTTGGCTTACCGTTTTCTCTAACATCCTCTTCCTTGCTTTTAGTTCTTTGACGGCAATTTCCACATCATTTTCTGGAGCTTTTTCTTCTTTGAGTTTTCTCACCAAATCACCCTTAAAAAATACCATATTTTACGTTCCTGTTTTTAGCTGCAACTTTGAACTGCAACCCCCCCACGCCCCACCCCCCACCCTCCCCGGACTAGCAATTTTGTCAATATTCAAGTATTTCAATATTTTTTATATGGTTCAGGGTTTGTACATTTTATTTCCAAAAAA